TGTGGGTGGGCACCTGAGCCTGGCCTTGGAGGGATGGGCTGAGGCAACACACCTGCGCCCAGGAGCCAGGTCAGTGGGGCCTGGTGTCACCCACAGAGCTCACTGGGGGCTGAGCCTGGGGGACAGCTGCTGGCAAGACCGCGTCCGGATTCAGCACCAGCACAGGAAAGGAGGTCACTAAGGCCCCGGCTACCTCTAGCTGTGGGTGGGCACCTGAGCCTGGCCTTGGAGGGATGGGCTGAGGCAACACACCTGCGCCCAGGAGCCAGGTCAGTGGGGCCTGGTGTCACCCCCCCCAAATCCCAAGAGACTCCAAAGCGGGGGAGGGGGCTGCTGTGCCCACCAAGCTGAAAGCACCTGCAGGGTGAAGAACGTCCCTGCTTTCTCTGAGGCGCTGGGCACGGCTCAGCCCCTTGCCCACCGCTCAGCAGGAGGGGGCTCGGCCAGCCGCCGGAAATCCACGGGAGGGTCGTGGACAGAGCCCACTTCTCTGCGTGGAGCCAAAGAGCCGTGGGGAAGGGTCTTCTGCCCTCTCTCACGGGCGCAAGGGAGCTCAGCAGCTCACGGGGCAGCGCCGGGGACGGGGGAGCGGGCTCAGAAGACGGTTTCTGGAGTTAACAGACCAAGGCGGGGCCCTGCATCGCGTGGGCACATGGGCTCCCACGGGAGGGGTGAGAGCTGTAACTAAACCCTGACGGAGGGAGGCAGGAGCAGCAGCAGAGCCCTCTGCCAGCAAGCCGGGGCCCATCGCATGGAGCATCAGGCCACTTCCTGGCGGGGCTCCCTGAACCCCCCAAGAAGACGGTTTCTGGAGTTAACAGACCAAGGCGGGGCCCTGCATCGCGTGGGCACATGGGCTCCCACGGGAGGGGTGAGAGCTGTAACTAAACCCTGACGGAGGGAGGCAGGAGCAGCAGCAGAGCCCTCTGCCAGCAAGCCGGGGCCCATCGCATGGAGCATCAGGCCACTTCCTGGCGGGGCTCCCTGAACCCCCCAAGAACCCGGCCCCCAGGGCTGTCTGCACGCACACCGCTCTTGCACAACGCCGTTA